AAGGAACAAAATTGTAAATGTTGTTTCTGCGCTCAGTGTTCTAAGGCTGAATGTTACAAGTGCCTTCTGTCTTAAAATCCTAAACCAAATACTTCGTGGTGAACTTGGCAGGCAGAAGTGTCCTTGCTTTACAAATGAACAAACAAACAAAATTCCCAGCAAAGTTGCTGGGGATAGAAGAGTATTAAGAGATCTATTTTAGTTTTTAGACTGAGAAGTGGTAGCAATGTTGGTTCAGTTAAATTGATGTGATAGAAGGTTGATGATGCGATTTGGAAAAGTGAAATATTTGTGTTCCAGCTCTGTGACACCAAAACATGTAGGTTCAGCTACTTTCTGTAGTTGGTGCTGTGCTGCGTTTTTGCCCTTGTCAGCTTCTAAAGATGAAGGATTCCAACTGCGTACCCATTTATTTAAAGAATTAGTTTAATTTTAGGATTTTTTTCTTCAACGTGAATGTCAGAGACACGCTTATGTTGTATGGCTAAATGGATTATAAACACTAAGTTGTTGAGGATGAACTTGACTGTGAAACATGCAGTGTTCTGTAGAGAAAATAGAATTTTTAAACTGAATTCACAAAATAGTATTTAAATTACTACTGAAGTAATTTTCTGGTTTGTATCAAGGATGGAGGTGGAAACTGCTTTTATGTATAGAGTTCTGTGGTATGAGTAACATCTGTTGCATGTAACACTAAATTACTTGTCCCTCTTGTCTAACAGTTTTAGACAACAATTAATTAAATGCATTTTGTATTGACCAGAGTATAGTTAAAGCTTGTCTTGATGTTTAGTTCTGTCTCTCAAATGCCTTGAACTTTGATATGAGGGGAGTGAACGATGTTAAACTGGTCCCTCGAGGCTTTACTTTGCTCTCTTACAAGCTTTGAGGCAATATCACTGTTTAATGTGTTGTATAGATTTATTTTGATGCATTCCTGTGATCTACACTAAGGCATCTTTTTCATCCAAGGAAGAGGTGAACACGTGCTGCCTGAAATGATTAGTCGCAGTGCTAATACCTCAGAACAAGCAGCAATGGAGACAGTATGATCAACGATTTACTTGGTCCAATTTCGGGGTGTAGTGCACACCAGGAAAAAAAAAAGGAAAAAAGCCCCATCAGCTGAAAGTCTAGGTGTTGACTAACTTCACTGTGTCTTGTGCTTGTCTGTGTGGGCATAGTCTGTTAATTCAGTTTGTTTAGTAAAATTGTTTAGGGCCAGATTTTCGGCAGTCGTGTCTGCAGTCCTTGTTTGTATGCACATAGGGATCAAATGGAAATTGAGTTTGGTCTCTGGAAGAATTTGCAGCTACACTTTGTGCACGAACTTGCAAATCCGATCCTTAATTGTGAACTCTCTTGTCTTGTGTGCTTTTCTTGCAGTTACTTTTTACTGGAAGTGATTTGCTAGAAATGGCCCTAACTTTCCTACTTTCTCTCTTGTGCTTCAGAAATGCAGTTGGCCTGAATAAAGGGCAAAATAATATTAGCAGTAGAAATTTGGACCTCTTTGCTTCCAGTTCGTTGACTCTTTCCTCGTTGCTCCCAATGATAGAAACAGCATATTTCTTCCAGTAAAATGGCTCAGGTTACAATGAGGAATGTGATAGAAATCGGACGAGCGCTTCATGCAGCTGCCCCCCTGCCAGCCCCCAGCCAAAACAAACGTCGTGGCAAATGTGTGGTTGATATTAAATTGACCTTTACAAACCCAAAGGCAAATTCTGAGAAGTCTTTGAGTCGTAGAAGTGTTTAGGTCGGAAAAGACCTTTAAGATCATGGAGTCCAACCATTAAAGGACACCAGAGTATGAGTAAAACCGAGTAAATAATATCTGGTCTGGCAGAGGGACAGGGGGTATCAGACAGATTGTGGTTGTGGTTTCAACACTCATGAGAATGGAGAGGAAAAAAAATTCATAATATACAAACAGTGGTTCTGAATTTGGGCTTCCCCCCCTCCCTGTCTCTCAGAAGTTCTGCAGGGAGGGGCGGATTGGAGAGGCAGAAGAACCTCATCCCAAAACCTGCTTAGGAATTAAACATTCCCAAAATCCTCTTACTGTAAGGTACTTGCTACTCTTAAGGCCAACGAAGCATTCAAGTCTCGTTTAGGAAATAAACGTTCTTGGAAGTTTCTTACTGTAAAGTGTTTGCAATGCTAAGGCCAATGAAACATTCCCTGCCACCCTTGATACCCAAGGTGACAGCAGATCTCTCTTGTGAGGGGATTTCTGCAGACCGTAGTACGTGCTTGTCCTCTGCTGTACAGAGTCTCTTGATCGTTCACAAAGATTGGTGAGGTGCTTCAGGCAGCACTTGATGCTCCTAATTCACATGGGCTAAAGTCAAAGAGAGCTCTAATAGCTTTGGTTCTGCCAATGTTGTTTAAACGTGATCTAGACAAAACTGGTCCAGAAAAGATGAAGTATTCTGTTACCATAAAACTGTATTAAGCATGGCCTAAATATTAGGTGTTTGTTCTGTATAGTATGTTCCATCAACTATTTATTACTAGTGCTTTAAACTCCAAATTAAACATCCATTTAAATGGAGTCACTGGGCAGATGTTCCTTTTATCAATATAGGTTGATTCTTTATTGGAGGTTTAGGATACAATTTTGCTAACAGGTAAAACAATGTAAATATGTACGAATTCTATTTGTTGCACATAACTTTTTGGTATAAAAAAATAAATGTAGAAATTACCTGTGGATGTCTTGCTGCAATCATTCTTACGCTGCATTCATGCAGTCCAAACAGAAGAGCTTGAATGAACCCAATCAGAGGCCTTTTTGGACTCAGTCTGAGCCTTAGAAACTGTTTTTAAAGTCAGTACTGTAACTCTGTTTGTAGAAATGTACTAAGTTGTGATTTTTCTTTGAAGACATTGTGTGTTAGCAGTAGAAGGGTTAAAGCACTTGGGTCCCCAGAGATACCAGTTTATAGAATTTCTGCGGCTTCACCGTGTCTCACTGAATGTTGTGTGCACGTGGGCGTGTAAAGGTTGAGCAGCATTGACTTGAGGCTTTAACTGTTTACAGTTCTTTAAGCAACATGCAAAAAAAACCTGTTAAAGTGTGTTGGTTTTATCCCTTCCTGCCTGCCTTGATTCTGTAGGTCTGCTTTAACTCCCACTTTGACGAGATCACAGAGTATCTGGAAACTGCTGTATGTTTTCCTGGATTTGGGGGGAGGGAGGGAGCCGTTGGGGAAGGGTTGGGTACGTGGCTTGGGTTTACAACTGCACTGAGCTGTTAAGAACAAGCAGGGACTAAGACTCTGAAATGTGCTTGCCATACGTGTGGATATTAAACTTTGCGTCTGTTCTGTGGGACTGAATGAAAGGAACAGCTTTCTCTTCTGCAACCGCAAGCCCCGTGTGTTACCGTAGGGATCTGAGCCCCAGTGTGTAACGAGTTCACAAGGTCGGATCTTTCTCTGTGTTTTGATGTGGCAGCTGTTGGTATGTCATGTCTGTTGAAATGGGGAAGAAAATGATTTGAACAAGATGTCTAGAGATGGAGAAGTTGAAATGACTCTCAAACACTGGTAGTGGGCTTAAATACCCTATTCACTCTTATACCATGGTACACTTGAGCAAGTGTCGTCTTGCTGTGGATAGACGCTTCTGTTCTGGGGTTTTAGTGATAGAGAAACTCTGTAGACCTAGCTTGGTATAAGGACTGTTTCTTATTTTCCCTTAAAAACTGCAGAAAAAATGTTTTGAAGTCTGCAGTAAACATCTGTGTCCTTACTCTGTGTGTGGCAGCGTGAAAGGTGGTGATGGCTTCTCCTGTGCCACATCTAAAGGAAAGAGAATCTGGCCACCACACAACGTAAGAGCAAATATTTTCTTTATATTGGCAAATGCTTTGGTCACTTTCTTGAGATACCAGCAGAAGAGCCAGTTGCAGAAAAAGTAGTCATAGCAACAGCTTCACATGGCATCTGTGAATCGGAATGATGAAACCACGTAATCGTGCCAACTTCCAAATTCAGTAGGCAGTCTCCAGTTTTGTGGCTCTGCTACGGGAGACGCTGCTCCTGGGACAACCCTGGGATGTTGCAGTAAGAAGTTTGCAGACTAAGTGTTCTGAGCTCTTCTGTGAGTATTGGCATAATATATTATGGTCTAAAGCCTGGCCTTTAGAGTCCTCCGAGACCGGTGTGCAGCCTGAAAGGGCTGTTCCTACACTACATTGCTGTCTAAAGTAACATGTGCATGTTCACTTCCACATCACCCTCCCCCAGAATGCTTCAGGCCAGTATCAAAAAGCTATCAAAAAGAACAATCTTACCTTCTAGACTACTATTACTGTAGTGCCTAGTGACAATTCAATATGAAGGAAGCTCTTCCATGCTGGAAGGTAAAACCGCCTCTAAAAGTGGCAGTTCTGGTACTGTGAGCAAAATAATTTTAAGCAAAGTTTAGCTGATGTAGTACCTACCTAATGTATTCCACCTTGCTGCTGTAGTACGGATTCCATGCTGGACTGGAGTATGCTGGGAATCCTCACAGAAGCAGGGGTTCACACACTTCCTGCAGGCTGTGAACTCTCAGCATTTCTCAGCCAGACACACACACATTCTGTCCCGCACGAGAAGCGATATAAATTTTGCTCTTCGGTAATTCTGTGGACAATTTGCTGCGATCTGAGGAGTGTAACTGTTAGGGGAGCGTAACTGGAAAACCTTGTTTGCATTGGAGGGATGTGATGTTCACTTAGAGTAACTTGGAGTCCTTAAGTCTTCAGCATTGATTTGTTATTGTGTAATTTTTTTTTTTTTTGCCATAAACAGATACCTCAGTCAGGATCTGTAACTTCAGCTCCTTGAAACGGAATATTCATTTAACTACCTGAAAACGGGAAGCCTACAGACATGGCTAAGCACAGGGAACTAGTGTGTCTGATCTGCTTTGTATCATAGTAACCACTTCAGGTGGACTAGAAATTGCATTAGACTTGCAAGAGTTGAGTCAGGCGTAAATATTATTTAAACAGAAATTTAATGAACACATTCAGCGTAACACCCAGCCACTACACCTTTTGATTTCATTTTAGAAAGAGGGTATGTGATTTTGTTATAGGAGGAAGACAGCTTGATTCATTTGCAATCTTCCAGTATCTTTCTCTAAGAACAAATGCAGCTGACTTGGGCTGTCGTTGGCGGGTAAATACTCCTTTCTTGTTCCCCAAAACACGTGTGGTCCCTGTAGAGAAGTTACAAAATAAAGCAAGTATATATAAAAAGTTCTTCTATCCCCTGCTGTGAACTGTTAGGATGTATGTAGGTGGAAGAGACCTATGCACTTTCTTCTACACGTAGTCAGGTACAACAGGGAACTTGGCAGCTGTAATCTGCATCACCCTGGCAAGGTTAACTGATGTAACTGAGCAATACAGCTGCAGGTCACTGTATTTACAAGTGGCAAGTTGATGACAGTGAATTCAGGTGTGCCCATTCACTTGATCAGTATTATTTTTACAGCAGATATTCCTTCTGCTGTTAGTTTCACCTTGAAATTTGGTGGTGAAAATGTTGATCACTATTTGTACTGTCCTGTAGGGGTGTCTATATCCTTTTTGCCTATTTTAGTTTTCATAGGAAAGTAGGAAAGATGATTGCAATATGTAGAGAGACTGGAACTGCATCCATATATGTGAGCTTGTCTACATTTTCTCCATCCTCCGATTTGATGCTACTTTTCTGACTGCTTCTCTGTGATGACTTGGCTTTCCACTACCTGTATCGGTGCTCTGCAGATTATTCTGAATGGTGTTTCTCTGCCTAGAATTTAACAGACTGTTCACCACCCTCACTCGCTGCAGGTGGCATCTGCACAACTGGTTCCTTCCCAGCTCTCCTTCTGAGTTACAACAGTTTCCTTTCAGTGTGCCTGCCTGCGCTGTAGGCTAAGCCAGGGTTGCCCCATACTTTGCGGATGCGCTTATCGCTTATTAACAGCGGATGGAGTGTCATGACAGGCTGTTGTCTGCCAGTGTGGCATCTGGTCCTCTATTGCTCAACCTCTATACCACGTTAGTAATACATTATTTAAGGTGCTCTGTGACTAGGGGCAGTCGTAGATGACATATGAAGCGAGACACGTCCCTAACAGCTGACTGAAGCTCTGAACTGAGGATGGCCGAGAAACAGAAGTAATCTGGGTCTGTTCACGAGCTTCCCTCGCGTTCTGCCCGAGCGCATTGTCTCGTGTTCTGGGTAGCATCCTCGCAGGTGGGACATCTAAGAGCTCAAGCTGGCCGGAGAGGAGGCATTAAGTGCAGGCAGGATCCTCTCTCTTGGCTCTGGTGGTGCTGGACTTTGTCACAGAAACCAGCTGTGCTCTGCCTTGGTAAGGAGAGGGCCCTTTTGCCCTACCCTCCAGCACGATAGTCTGTGTGTCATAACCCATTTTAAACTCGCAGGGAGGATGGAGAGTTGTTTAGAATATAAATGTAAGCTTACCTTGATTAGTCATGAAATCGGCAAAATTCCAGATGAGCTCCCCAATCACATACTCTTTCCTCTTTTTGTCAAAAACAGAATGGTACTCTCTTAGCATAGCTTTCTGATATTCCTCGCTGAACATAAGAGGTGGATCCTACAGCCAGGAAAAAGAGGTAGCCTTGAATGAAGGTGACAGTTACTCTCCACAAAGGCTCCGCACGTTAACTTCCTATTTACTGGGGACCTGCTTCCTGAAGACGAGCTTTACAGTTGCTCGGTCTTGTCATTGCTGCTGCATTAACAATGGCTGTTCAGTGACAGCTGGCAAGAACAACTGCGAGGGGAAGCACACATAAACCACAAAGATGACGGCAGGTGTGCTTAGGGGGCAGGCCCCCCTCTTGCTTGGCCATGGTGCTTTGTCATGACAGGGAGAGGAGTGCCGCCCCCTCCTGCGCGGGACAGCATCGTGAAATCAGTGTCCGCGCCCCAGTGTCCTATCTTCTGATGACGCATCTTCACCAAATGCCAAAGCACAGGTTTCAGAGTGCTCCGTGCTTTTGGTCAAAGCTAAAAACTTCTCTTTAGGTAGAATCTAACTTGTGTTAGTGGCAAAGCTCATTGACTTCAGCGGAGCAGGACTACAGGCCTGGAGTCTGTCGTTCATTGACAAGCTAAAGCATCTCCAGACTAAGTAGTCAGGCTCAACGGTACCCATCTCTTCTAATTACACGTTGCTGACCCTGTAGGAAGAGCAGTGCTTTTTTCCCATCTAGGGTGTTTGTAGCACTTACGCTGTGAAGTCCAGGAACGGAGTCTGCTCCGTATTCGCTCTGGATAATGGGTTTTTGGTAGGTCTTATACCAGTTCTCAAACTGTGTTGTGAGTTGTAGTGGAATAACTTCCAGATGGCCTGGGTCATGATACCAGGAGAAGTAGCTATTTACGCAGATTACATCCACATAAGGAGCCTGCAGAAAACAAGGTGAGAGTGTGTTGTCACAAAGCTCCAAGCAGACAACCTCCACTCGTAAAGCTAAACCCTCCTTTTGGTCCCTTTCATGAAATCTCGTTTCATTCCATGTAGAATAATAAAGTCTCTTCCCCCATCACTCAGGCCCTCCCAACATGACCTCCTTCCCAGAAAAGAAAGCAGGGTAAATTTAGTAAGCTAATAGCATATTAATTTGGCATCTTTTTTTTACAGACTTAGGAAGTCACAGCAAAGGGTTAGACAAGATCCACCCATTTCAGCCTCAGGTTTGTTAGAAGTTTTTTGAGTTTCCAAGATGTCTCTGGCTTGCTGGTACGTTCAGATGTACTTTTTGAGTATTGGAATGTGATTATCAAGTTAGTGGTCAAATATTTTGACTAGCAACTAAATCTGTGCATCAATGGTGCAATACTAAGACTAAGCATTCTGCAAGTTATATGCCATTTCTACCACATGGACAGTATGATAGGAGGGCACAAAGCCCACTAAAGATAAAGTGATGTTGTATGTAACTTGTTCAATGTTCTCTTAACATGTTTTGTAATAAAAGAAAAAAAGTTCTAATATCACATCAGTGTACAAGATCTGTTCTTTGGGGTTTTGTTTTCCTGTGTCTCCTCAAGCTAGTTGGAACACCTCGTGGGGCTGGGATGTCAGTGTGCACGTGCCTGATGAAACAGCACTCTCCAAGAGCAGATTCCTCTGGGCACCTTCAAAACTAAGGCCATCAGCTTTATTTTCCTGGGATGGGGAGGAACAGCCCTCTCGGTCACAGAAGGCCATTCCT